AACTTTTTAAAAACTCTTTTTTAGCATATTTTTTTAAAATGCTTTAAAAAGTTCCGATGATCAGCTGTGCAACAATCAGCTGTGCCCCGTGATTTCTAGCGAATATAAATTGTGTGGGACAGCTGATTCTCACACAGCTGATCGTTGGAACTACTGGTTCGGACGAACCGGTAGCATTTCACCCCGGTTAGTCCCATCACCATCTAATAATACCTGTTCCATACTTAGGGAAGTGAAATTCCAACCAAGCATTTTGCGCCAAGACATCATTGTGGCAACTGACAAAAGCGGGGAACTGCAAATAATTCAGGCCAAAGTAGAAATCACAAAATCAGACTCTTTCCAGGTTCTTCTTTCTCCTAGCAGGTCAGTCACAAATTACTGCTATCACTCATCTTTCCCAAAAAAGTCTTCTTCAAGCCTTTCCATAGATGGACCCTGAGATGGTTGCCTGTTTGGACTTCATGAGCCATCCCAACTTACCTGTCCTACAGAGTCTGTCATCTGCATCTCTATAACTGTCCGGTTTGTTTCTGCAACTCAACAGGACTTCAAAGGATAATCAGAACTTCAGAAAAAACAATTTCTACCAACCGGCCTTCCATTGAGGACCTATATACTGTATGAGTCAAAAAGAAGGCTGTGAAAATATCTACAGACCCCTCGCATCCTGGACATAAATTGTTTCAACTCCTACCCTCAATAGAGCATTCCACACCAGAACAACCAGACACAAGAAGAGGTTTTCTTGAATGCCATCACTCTGCTAAACAAATAATTCCCTCAATACTCTCAAACTATTTACTAAGGCTGCATTACTATTACTATTAATCTTCTCATGGTTCCTACCACTCATCTCTTCCCACTTATGACTGTAACTTTGTTGCTGTATCCTTACGACATATTGATATTTATTGTTTCCTGATTGCTTATTTGTACCCTATGACTATCATTAAGTGCTTTACCTTATGATTCTCGATGAATGTATCTTGTCTTTTTATGTATATTGAGAGCATATGCACCAAAGACAAATCCCTTGTGTGTCNGGACCCAGATTGTTGTTGGGGGCAATATGCTGACTCTGTAAACTGCTTAGAGAGGGCTGAAAGCTCTATGAAGCGGTATATAAGTCTAACTGCTACTGCTATTGCTATGTAATCTCCAACAGTGGTGTTCAGTTTTGATGGATGGTCTCTTTTTTAATGTTTGAAAAATGCCAAAGAAGAATTCTTTACAGTACCGGAATGGGACAACTCTCCACAGCCAATTCACCATAGTACAACTCGCCGTGGCTAACTAACCGCAGGGCAATTTGCTGCAGCACAATTCAACATATAGAAGAGTTAAATTAATTTCAACGGAACCATGGCCAATAATAATAAAATGAAAAACTCAGTACAGAAATATAAGAGTTACAATAATCTCAACCACAATTTGGTCACCAGCAATAAAGGTAACTGAATGAAATGGTTAATACAATGTTAATACAATGGCTCACGGCGAGTTGGCTATGGTAAATTGGCTGTGACCAGTTGTCCTAGACCAGTAATGGCTAACCTTTTTGTCCTTGTGTGTGGAAAGCGTGCACGTGTGTATACATCTATAATGCACCACGCGTATGACACCTCCCCTGCGTGTTCTGTCCCCCCTGTGCATGTACATTTGACCCCCTGGTGCTCCCCTGCCCTGTGCATACATGTACAACCCCCCGTGCTCCCCTTCCCACTCCCATGCATGCACATGCGACCCCTGCACCCTATTTTGGGCCTAGCAGGCCTCCCTGAAGCCTCCTGGAACCAAAAATGGGCCAGTGGGCCAGCGGGAAGATCACGCACATACGCGGTGGAGCTGAGCTGGGGCGACGACTTGAGTGTACCTTACGTGTACCATAGGTTCGGTATCATGGTCCTCAATCTTTACAGCGCTAGTCTGAATATTAGTGCCAGGATGGAAATGAGGATTTCAGGGTTTATGTGATGAAGCCTCGGTTTAGCTTTGGAATCTAGCAGCTTGTGCTCTGTCCATTCATAGGGCTACAGGAATTTCTAGTGATAGAAAGAGGCTGGGGGTGCATTTATGGAGTCTGATGAAAGGGAAGAGGCCCAGCAGCTCTAATTCATCTACTTCTCTTCTGCTCTTCTCCGAAGTACAGTCCTGCCAATAATGTTTGTACCATTTCATAACATAAGAGTTTTAAAATCATACTGCTTGTACTATGGCAAAAAAGTGGTTTTATCATTGCAAGGGGTAGGCTTGTGTATATGGAAGGTGGGACTTTGTTGTCACTGCTTCCTCCTGAGTGGGAAAGAAAAAAAGAAATGGCAGTCACATAAATAGAGAGCATTTCTTCTCTAAAATTCCCCCCCTCCAAGCTTGATCAATATGTCATTTAGCAATAACAATGCTCCCAGGAAAATGAGCATCAATTTCACTGCTGGCAATAACCCAGTGGCAAGAAGATTGTTCCATCGGGTTGAGCAAAAATAAATGAGAGCCAAAAACGGAATCAAGGCTGCCTAATGGTATACATTTCCAGAAGCACTTTTGTGAAAATGCAGAAATGTTTCACTGGCATTCAATGCAAAGGAAAGCAAAAGTCTTTGCAGAAAAATAAAATGAAATAAATGGAAGCAACCTAATTTTGGGAGGTGGGGTTGATTCTGGGAATGGGGCTGTCATTAAATAAGGGATAGAGGCAGGCCATAATGGGTGGTGTCAGGCATGGATGACCTTGGTGAAAGAGGAGAAGAGGTGGTGCCTAGGAAATAACCAGAGGAGACAGGCAGGAGCTCCCAGTAATTTAAATGGTCAGAGAAAGAAACTTAAGAACCTGCCTTAAAGGATCAAGCACTTAAAATATTGATGGTGGCACAGTGGTTAGAAGGCAGTACTGCAGGCTACTTCTGCTGACTGCAGTCTGCCTGTAGTTTGGCAGATCAAATCTCACCAGGCTCAAGGTTGACTCAGCCTTCCATCCTTCCGAGGTGGGCAAAATGAGGACCCAGATTGTTGGGTGCAATATGCTGACTCTGTAAATCACATAGAGAGGGCTGTAAAGCAGTGGTGGGATTCAATTTTTTTTACTACTGGTTCTGTGGTCATGGCTTGGTGGGCATGGCAGGGGAAGGATACTGTAAAATCCCCATTCCCTCCCAATCAATTGGGACTCAGGAGGCAGAGAATAGATGGGGTTGGGGGCCAGTCAGAGGTGGTATTTACTGTGGCTGGATAGATGTCAGTCATATATAAAAACAGAAGGTATGAACTGCAGGATTCAGGCACAGTAAAGGAATACAGAAAATCACCTGATTTTGATACAGTTATGAGCTGCATTTTAATCTATAGTGTTGATCTTAATTGTGTGCATAACACACACACACACACACACACACACTTACAACTCTGCATAGCATTCTACCAAATTTATTGGAACCAGTCTGCATGCAATTGCGTGCAGAGTTACTATGTATAGCCTCCATTAAACATAATGATGTTTACCGCCAACTGCATAGCCTTCATTTGTGAAATGTGTTTTTTTTTAACAAACTCTTTTTGTCAATGAAGTGTTACTATATAAAATGCTTCTCTATCTAAGGCAGAGGAACAATTAACCATTTCCTGCTTAACTATTTACCTCAGTCACTGATATCCTCCATGCTGATGGGAGAAGAAACAAAAATAAAATCTGATTTTAGAGTAGATAAGTCTTGTTACAGTCACACCTACACTCTGGCAGCCAGTTGATTCTTGGATGCAGATCTTGGTTTTAAGGAGTATGATCTATGGTCAGTCTAACCTAATTGATCATGTGGCATCAAGCAATAATGAAAACATAGATTTTCTCCCGGGCAATCTGTCCCTAACCTATTCTTTCAAGTATCCCAATGCACTCATCTCCACTGTAACTGGGTTCATTTAACTTGCAGCTAAGTGTCTTTTTCTCTTTCCTTTCACCTTTCCCAACATCAGAGCCTTCTTCAGGAGTTAAGGATAATTTGAGCCTTCATTTGTTCTGTGAATGAGGAACCTGAGTTGATTTGTTTATTGATCTATTTGTCTGTTTGGTATTCCCAGAAGTCTTCTCCAACCCCAAAGTTCAGATGTGTCAAAAAACAAACAAACCACCAGATAGAGCAACCAGCCTTAGGACTGAGAATGAGTGTATCATACTCCTAGGGAATGGGTGGTTTAGAAATAGGAAATATACTGTAAAGATGGATAAGCAAACAAGCAAACAAATAAATAGAAGTGGGAAACAAGTTTTGCCTTTATTGTGATGGTTTTACCCGTCAGCAAAGCACACTCTAAAGGAAGAGAAGCAAAGGCAGAGAAATTAAAGAATTGCTTTCTTTTTAACTTCTCTGTAATTACAGCTATAAAGAGAGGACCATTTCAAGCCTTGATATTGAAGCAGAACAACAGAATCCAAACAACAAATATCTGCAGGTATTAGAACAACCTATAATCAAAATAGTTAAAGAGAAAGTAGTCACAAACTATTTAGATAGGCGCCCGGAACAGATACAGAGACTTGTTGAAATAAAATTGTTTTAACACCCTTCACGAATGCAAGGGAAGTAAAAGCCAAGTGTATCTCTGGAGAATCATGTTCCATAAAAAGAGGACTCTTGCAAAGAAAGCTGTCATCTGATCCAAGTCCCCTTAATCTCCNCAAGTAATCAATTTGTTTCTTTTAGAATGAAGCAGAACCATCTGCATAACACAGAACATTACCCAAGCCACAATAATGGTCCATACTCAGTGCACTAACTGCAGTACAGTCTGTTCAACTACTCACACATAACTGCACACAGATAGTACAGAAAAGTACGGAACATTGTAGGTTGTGAAGTTGACCATTACCAAGGACTTAATTTCAGCTGTTGAAGCAATGATATTGCTAATAGGTATCCTCTGAAATTTGCTCTGTGTAAAATCCAAGATAGTTTTATTTAAATCGATGCCTTTCAGAAATTTTACAGGTGGAATTCCTAGAACCTTCAAAGATAGTTGGGAGACCTAAGTTGTAGTGTTAGTCTCGTCAGGTTGGAGCAAGCTAAGTTAAACTAAGAATTTTAAAAAGAAAAATGCATAAGTTTCCAAGATGTTATTCTTATATCCAGTATTTCTAAACAATTTATGCGCTATTATATTATTTAGCTTTAATTAATTGTAAGCATTTAATGATCAGTACACAAAAGCAAGAACAGAAATATGATTAAAAGAATTAAGCATTTTAGTACCTGTGCAACAGATCCCTTCCCCACAGCAGAAGTATTAGTGACAGACTGAGCAGAAGACAGATTGGATGAGACAGGTTGTTTATAATGGTTAGATGAGAGTTTGTCAGTAGATAACCTATTGGCTTTTCGCTCTGCTGGTGGACAACGTGCAAAGATTTTCGGGGATGGCAAATTATCATACAGGCCCATGTTATCATAAAGCCCATCTTCTCCTGTGTTTTTGCTAGAAGTAGGAAAGCTATCTTCTGGTTCCCACTGCAACACACATACTTAGTAAATTAGCATAACTTCATGCACTGGAAAAATGTAATAATTTGAAAGTTAAGTGACAAATTAAGAAAACATCTCCAACCCTCAGCAGGAGTTCCTTCTCCACTGGTTCTATACAATAGTACTTCGATACTTGACTGCTTCAAAACTTGTCAAATTTGATATGCATTTTGATGCGAAAATGTTATCACATTACTCATTATTTGTTTGGCACTCAATGCACTGCAATAGGAAGAGGGGAACATCCATGGAGAACAGACAGGAAATTGGTCATGGTAGGAAGGTTAGTCAAAAATAAGCAGGCAACAGCTGCAAAGGGTGGACTTAAAGCCAGCTGGAAGGTCACTGGCATAGGAAAAGGGACAGATAGGAAGGTCTTCTTAAAGTAACTATATCAAAATGGAAATCTTGCAAATTCCAAAGTTAAGATTTCTAAACACACTGCTGAAAAGGACAGTGAGAAATAATGCCATTTGATATCCTTATGTTGTCTATCTTATAGTCTGTAGCAGTGATGGTTAACCTTTTCGGCTCACATGGAAACATCGCGCACATGTGCCCATTGGGGCCACGCTCCAGAAAAGCCAAACTTCCAGGTTCTAGCGTGCATGCATGCCCAACAATCAGCTGGCCAGCACACAAGTGTAGGCCAGTTTTCAGCACTGCTGCATGCACGAAGGGAACGTGCTCTGGAAAAGCCAAACTTCTGAGTTCTGGTGTGCATGCGCACACGAGAATCAGCTGGCTGGCGCACATGTGCAGGCCAGTTTTCAGCACTGCTGCATGTGAAAGGATCACGCTCTGAAAAAGCTGAACTTCTGGGTTCTAGCGCGCATGTGCACCCCAAAATCAGCTGGCCAGCACGTATGTGCATGCTAGTTTTTAGCACTGCCGCATGCACGAAGAACAGCTGAGCATGCCAGAAACCCGGAAGACAAACAGGCAAGGCCATGTGTGCCGGGCAACATGGCTTCATGTGCCACTTTGGGCATGCGTGCCATAGGTTCGCCATCACGGTCTATGACAGTGTTTCTCAACCTTGGCAACTTGAAGATGTCCGGACTTCAACTCCCAGAATTCCCCAGTCAGCGGATGCTGGCTGGGGTACTGTTGAAGT